AAGGGGGCCGAAGATGGCGGCAGGCTACAGGAAAGTGTGATGAGTCGCCGTCTTCTTGGTATAAACACATGCACAGCAGGCTCTATACAGCATGAGCAGCTGCTGAAGAAGAATTCAGAATCTCCCCTGTGGGAGGTGGGGTTTTGCGGGGGAGGTCAGTAATCTGAGGAGAGGAGGGAAAGCATTCCAGGCCTGGGGGACGCCAGGGAAATGCCCACTGAGAGGCCTGGGGTCACCGGATTGCGGAGTATGTGGGGAGTAAGGTGTGAGAAGACTGGAAAGGTAGGAGGAGGCTTTGAGGGCCACGCAGAGCATTTTGTATTTGCTTTTTTTTTTTTTTTTGAGCGAGCAGTTTGGGTTAAGTGACTTGCCCAGGGTCACACAGCTAGTAAGTGTCAAATATCTGAGCCCGCATTTGAACTCAGGTCCTCCTGACTCCAGGGCCCGTGCTCTATCCACTGGGCCACCTAGCTGCCCCCATGTATTTGCTTTTGGAGGCATAGGGAGCTCCAGGGCTTTATTGAGTGAGGAGGTGAAGTCGGCTGTGGTTTTTATTTCATGAGTAGAGTCAGAGTTCATAAATATTTATTAAGTGCCCTCGGTGTGCCCAGTGCTGTGCTAAGCTCTGGGGATACAAAGAAAGGCCAAAGACAGCACTGCCCTAGAGGAGCTCACGGCTTGATGTGGGAGAGCCCACATAGACAGAAGCTGGCGGGAGTCTCAGCAGGGAGAGGGTGGGGGCAGCCAGTGGGAAATGAGCTGAGGAGGGGGAGTGTCTGAGCCGATTCATCTCGCCAATAGTAAGTTTGTGGAGCCAGGCAGTCCCAGAGGACACAGAGGAAAGGAGTCAATGCAAGTCCTTGTTTGTTCTTAGAGGTAGGTTAAGCTTTGCCACTACCATCTTTCTTTTCTATTGTCAATGGGTATTATCCTGATGAAGGCCCTTAACCCATGCAGGCCGGCCTAGGACTTTGGAGGAAGGCCTGAATGAAGAATGCGGGGTGGGGTTTGAAGTAGTATTAGTTCCTCATAAAAATCAGGCACAGAATTAATTCAGCGTCCCTGGTGCCAGTGGGAATAGGTTTCTTCATTTTGCAGAACGTGAGATACTTGAAACTCACAGGGACTTTTTCCTGGAGCGTCCTTTGTTTTAGCCCCTTTGATCACTTGTGGATCTGAGCTATGGCTGGGCCTGCCTTGAGTGTCATTGCAAGAAGCAGAGGTGAGAAGAGAGGGCCTTCCTGGCATGGGGACCAGCTTGTGCACAGGCCTGGAGATGAGAGGCTCTGCGCGAGGAATGGCAAAAGGTCAGTGTGATTGGAGGGCAGCGTGTGTACGAAGGTTGGCGAGGCAGGTTGGAGTCTCACGTGATCCTCGAAGGACTCGGGAGCCTATGGGATTTGTTTAGCTGGAGAATGGCGCAGAGGACCGTGCTTTGGGAAGATTGACCTCTGATTTGTGCCCGTCCACACCATTCCCATCTTGTACGAACGGTGGGTTTATCTCATGGTTTTTTTCTCTCCAATACGATAGAGACTTTTTAGATCTGGGAGCTGGATCTGAGCCTAGTGTGCCTGGCCACACAGTAGGTGCTTCAGAAACGCTTTCTGGCGGGCTCTCACAGGTTGCTGCTTGAAGTTGTTACCGTCCTCATTTTGTGATGAGGATGTTGAGGGTTCGAAAGTCACTTGCCCCTGGTAGTTCAACTGCTGAATGTGGAAGCAGAGTCCAGGCCGGTCTCTTGCTCCCAAGCTCAGCCCCTTTCTCATGCCCTCTTCCGTCTCCTGCCCTTTAGGGTTGGCGCTCCCTCACCCGGGTCCTGCACCGCCTTCTCCTGAACTTGGACACTCACACAAGTCTCTCCCCAAGTTAACCAGCGCCGTCTCTCTCGGTGGCGTTGTCTCTTCTGGTCTCGGCGGCTCTCGTGGCAGTGCTAGCGGGCTCTTTGCCGCTGGCTGTCATCTGTCCTCTGGTGAATTCCCTTCCCCATCATCCATCGCCTGTTTGTCCTCAGAGCACCTCAGAGTTGACGCGCATGTCGGACACAGAAGGTTTCGTCTGTTTCCTTCCCCAGGTTCCTTTCAAACTGCTCTAGAGCCCTGTGCTCCTAGTCCTTGGGTGCCCATCCCCAGGCTGGTGCTAAGCCTTGTTGGTTGCTCTTCGGCCATCTTGCCCTATCTGCCCTCCTCCAGGCTCCCCCCTGCTCCGGCCTCTCCTCCCCCCTTCCTTGGGCTGTGCTCACAGCTTCCCTTGTCTCCTTGCCTTCGAGTGACTCCTCACCACATGCCTAGAGGGTCTTCCTAAGGCTTAGGAGCCCAAATCCTCCCTAGCTCACATACCTTCATCAGCTCCTTACTGCCTCAAGAACAAAAGATAGTTTCTTCTTCCAGTCTCATTTCATAATGCTGTCCTTTATATGTCCTTTACGTTTTGGCCAAACATACTTAGAACCGGCCATTCCACCTTCCGCGTCAGTGCACTGACCCCAGCCTCCTGGCTGCTCCTGGAACGAGACATCCATCTCTTGGCCCTGGGCATTTCCTGTGGCCATCTCCCGTGCCCGGAGAGGTGTCCTTTCTCTGTGCCAGCCACTGACCTCCCTGGCTTCTGTCTTTGACCCCTTCTAATTCTTATGCCTTCCCTCTTTGAGTTACTGCTTTTTTGATCCTGTATATAACTTGTTTGATTGTGAGCTCCTCGAGAGCAGGACTGGCTTTTGCCCCTTTCTGTATCCTCAGCACTTAGTATAATACCTGGCATACAGTAGGTACTTAATTAATGCTTATTGCTTGACTGACTGAATTGAACTGAAGTTGCAGGTACTTTTTAGATTGTAGGCAGAGTTTTTGTTTTGTTGATCATGCAGTTTCTTTGTTTATTTAGTATTTTATTTTCCCCCAGTTACATGTACAAAGAATTTTTTAACGTTTATTTTTATAACTGAGTTCCAAATTCTGTCCCCCCCTCCTCACCTCTTTCATTGAGAAGGCAAGCAATTTGATATAGGTTAAACATGTGGAGTCATGCAAAACATTTCCATAATAGTCATGTTGTGAAAGAAAACATAGATAAAAAACTCAAGAAAAATAAAGACAGTAAGAAAAAGGCTGCATCAGTCTGTATTTGGACCACCGTCAGTTCTTTCTCTGGGCATGGACAGCATTTTTCATCATGAATCCTTCAGAGTAGTCTTGGGTTGTTAATAGCTAAGGAGAATAGCTAAGTCATTCACCGTTGATCATGGCACCATTTGGTGTTACTTTGCACACAGTACATTTCACTTTGCATCAGCTGGGGTCATGCAGTTTCCTTGTACGTAACTGCTGTGTCCCAAGGCCTCCTCTGGCCTTATGTCTCTGGAACTTAGATTATGTTATTGGCATCTGGCACAACTTTGGGCATTTGGGATAGAGGATCACTTTCACTTCTGTCGCTTTAAAGTCCAAAGAAAAGTCTCTCATTCTCTCGTTCTGTAAAGATTTTCATCTCTCTCAAATTCCACTTTACAAGCAGTTGGAGTGGAGACATCATCCTTGCTGCTCCTCTCCTAGGCTGTATGCTCCACGTGGACAGGGATTCCGTCCTTGCCCCAAGAGTGTGTCTGCCCTAAGCAAAGGTTTCTGCCCCAGGAAGTGCTTGAAAAGTCAGTGTTTGTATTGGCAAAGATGCCAGAAGATGAAAAGAGTAAGTTGTTGGAGGGGCTGTGGGAAGGCCGGCCCCCTCATGCCCCACTGGTTGGGCTCTGAGCCACCAGTTCAACTATCCTAGAAAGGAACCCATGATTATACTGAGAAGCCGTTCAGTCGGGTATAGTTTCAACCAGCAATCCTGCTCCTTGACAGATAGCCCAGGTAGGTCCAAGGAAGAGAGAAAGTTGCATATACAAAATGGTTGTAGCAGCCCTTTTTGAAATAGTAAATAAACGGAAAGAAAGTGGGTGTCCATGGCTTGTAAGATGATTCAGTCAGTTGTGCTATATGGCTATGAATGGAAAGTACTTAGTAAGCACCTACTGTATACCTGGCACTGTGGCTACAGATACAAGAGTGGGGAGGTCCTGGCCCTTGGAGAGCTTCCATTCTGCTAAGGAGACACCGTCCATGGCGGGGAGAAGGAGGGGTGGGGTGACCAAGGGAGGCTGGTTTGGATTGGACAGCTAGAGAGTGAGTGGAGACAGTCGCGTGTCTGTGGATGTGCTTCTTCCAGAGTCCTGGAGTAGCAGTGGAAAATGAGGGCCGTGTGTGAGGATGGCGGTGGGGCGTGGGGCTGGGGTGGACAGTTCGCCTGTATGAGGTGTTCCGGAGCATAGCAGACCCCGCTCCATTCATTCAGCAGTCCAGACCCACAGAGCCCAGGGCAGTAGCTCCGGAAGCTGAGTGGATTAAGTCCTCTAGTGTTGGGGAGCGGGCTGGTGCTCTGGAGAGTGCCTGGCATGAAACATGGCAAGAAGATGGCCCAGCTGAGACCCCAGATGGGACGTAACGGAACACGAAGGTTCTGTAGTATGTGACAAAGATGAAGAAGTTAGAGGAATGGGGACAGACCTGGAAGAAGCTGGGGTGTAGAAGAATTCGTGCGGTGATCACCGGGAAGGACTCAGCCCTGGGTCAGTAGCCACTGCCAGGCTGGACTCGGGAGCGCAGATGGAGTCGGTGCCTCCTTCTTGTGGGCAGAGCGTCAGTGAGACGTTCGATTGAGTGGAGTATACAGCAGCGAGGCTGCTTTTGTGATCCTCAGCAAAGCTCACCAAAGTGACGTTTCCTTCGGCTGGGCTGAGGCAGCCTGGGGTCTCCAGTGGGACTCGTGTTGGGGGTTGCCAGACTCAGCCTGTGGGGTTCTGCCTCTCTCGTTTCTTTTCCCAAACCCGCCTTGCTGTCCTCTGTGTCTGGTTTCAGAAAATCTACCCCTTCTGTGTGCCTCGGGGCTTGGGCTTTTAAAATGCGAACTTACAAATAGACCGGTAACTGACGGAAACTGACCCCTTTTTCCTATCTCATAAGGGTTACCTACCTGCGAATGTGGATCGGAGAGAAGGCACCCTGCGGAGAAAGCAAAAGGAATATTTTGCTTTTATTGACCAATATTATGATTCTCGGAATGATGAAGCTCACCAGGACACCTACAGACAGGTGAGAACCTCTGGGGGCTGCCTCCTCTTCATGGCGCGGGTCCTTTCTCAGCTTGTGGCTCATGGTCAGACATCGCTTCTCTAAAATTATGGCGTCTGCATCCTGCCTTATTGTTGAAATGGTAAACGAATTTGCCATCACCTCGAGCATGTGCTCTGCCTTTGTCGCCTCCTCGTTAAACAATTCCCTCCTGATCAGGTGATGAACCGGACCACCTTCTGTTCCCCAGATAGACCTTCTGTTTTCCCTCCTCTGCACCTTTGCCCATGCTGGTTCCCATTCCTGATGAGTCTTTCTTCCCCGTGTTAGCCTGTTGGATCCCTTCCTGTCCTTTGAAATCTAATTCAGAGGCCGCTGTCCCCCTTGGGCCGCCCCCTACCCTGTCTGTGTGGGCCTACCCTCTTGCCCCCCTCACCACAGACTTAGTCTGTAGAGGGTGTCGGGAGGACTGTTTTTCAGGGTCCCTGCTCCAGGAATGGGCAGCCTCGGAGGCCATCCGTTGGCTTGAAGTCCATTTTCTCACTTGAAGCTGCTTTGCTCAGAAGGGGCTCCTCTCCCTGCCTGAGCCTCAGGCCCTGGTCAGCATCTGCTAGTATTCTCTCTCGGCCTTTCTAAAAGCTGTGCCCACCTAAGGCACATGAGGCCCTTTTTGTCTCTGTGTCCTCTCTGCTGCAGGCTCTGCCTCACGTGTAGTAGGCCCTGAAACATTCTTGTTGGTGCGGATCAAATTGAATTAGCCTAGTGGTTTGTCCCTAGTGGATTAGGCCCTGGGCTGCCCTCTCTCCCAGGGGCCTGACTCTCTGCTGAGGCCCAGGACTCTGCCCCCTGTGTCTGTCAGAAGCATGAGCAATATGGCCTGTTGTAAAAAAAAAAAGGCTATTTTTGTCGTTGCTGTTCTTACATCATCATAGTACGCCCTTCCCAGAGAGGGAACCTCTGGGTTGTTTTGATTTACCTTTCTCTTGCACAGCAGTGATCTGGTGTGTTCTTTGATGTGATTGTGGCTACTTTGTAATTCTTCTTTTGAGAACTCTTTATATCCTTTTACTATTTATGCATTGGGGAATGGCCCTTAGTCTTCCATGTGTTTACTGTTTACATTTTGCATGTCTTGGATACCCTACGTTTATCAAAGAGGTTTGGTGCAAAGATTTTTTCTCATTTGACCACTTCCCTTCTTATCCAAGTGCATTAGTTTTGTCTGTAGGGAAGATTTTCAGTTTCATGCTGTGGATACAATATTATGTTCCTTAAGTTCCTTTAATCTTTTTTTTTTCTTTAAGATGCCCTGCTCTCACTGGTTCTCTTCCCCTCATCCCTGATCCCCATTTCTTGTTTGATGTCCCCCCTCACTTTCTTCTCCTTCAGCTAGTCCTCTTCCTTTATTTTTGTGCCCCTTTCCAAAAAGGAAGTTCCTCACTAATCATTATCCATTTTCTCTTTCTGTTTACTTTTGACCCTCATTCTCTACCCCTGAAATGATCTGTATCTATAATTATCTTTTCTTTGTATTCTTAGTGCTATTCAAGGTGTCTGGATACTGTAGGTTTTCCCTTCTAGGTGTGGCATTTAAAAAGTTTTGAGAGATGTAATTTAATCATTTTATTAATAATCCCAGCATGTTTATTAATAAAAGGATGGTCATTTAGCCAGCTCTCTCTCTTTTTTTTTTTAAAGGTGATTGGGGTTAAGTTACTTGCCCAGAGTTACGCAGCTAGTAAGTGTTATGTGTCTGAGGCCGGATTTGAACTCAGGTTCTCCTGACTCCAGGGCCGGTGCTCTATCCACTGCATCACCTAGCTGCCCCACCATCTCTTTCTTAGAGCAAAGACCACCGTGTTGGCAGGCTCACAGCTTATAAGGTCATTGGAAGAGAGGTGTTTCCAAGGGTGACAATCAATTCTGATAGGTTAACTATTAATGAGGGAATGAATATTACAATGAGGGGCTGGACCTGAACTTTGTGTCATTTACTTCCCTGTTACCTCCAGCCTTGGGAAATCTATTCAAAGAATTTATCCCCACCCAAACCTGAGCAGAACCCAGTGACTTTCTCACGTGGGTGGGGTCTGAATAAGAAAGTTAGTCTGATCTCATTATCAGTAATGTCCTTTAAGAGACTTTAGAAAAAGGGTATATCTCCCCTAAATCATTAGTTATTAATAATCATTTCTCTCATAGGTGCTTTCTGCCACTGCCTTGTATGGCTTGCCTCATGGGTTCACCTTTTCCATTGTACTTCATTTCCAGAACAATGCCAAATTGTTATTATCATTATTATTATTATTATTATTATTATTATTGTTATTATTGGTAATTGCTAGCATTTATATAGAACCTACTGTGTGCCAGATATTGTGCTAAATACTTTACAAATATGACCTCATTTGATCCTCACAACAGCTCTGGGAGGGAGGTGCTGTTATGATCCCCATTTTACAGATGAGGAAACTGAAGCAAATGGGGTTAAATGACTTGCCTAGGGTCACACAGCTTGGCAATTGTCTGAGGTCAGATTTAAGCTCAGATCTTCCTGATTCCAGGCCTGATGCTCTATCTACTGTGCTGCTACCTAACACTGCCCCATAGTAGGGTCTCCTACCTCTGTCTAACCTTGGTAACCTCTCTTGGTAACCTTTTTTTTTCTCCTACATTAGCCTGGAAATCTCCTCTCTGTGTCCATATTCTCCCACTCCTCCAGGTGCCAGTTGTCCATCTGATCCCTTATTTTCATTCCCCCATACACTTAGAAAGAATTCTCTAACTGGTCTCTCTGTTTCCCCTCCTTGCCTGCTGTATTATGCACTCCTCTTGCATTTCTCTTGTTTGGGGTGTTTGAGGGGCAAATAATCTCTTCAGTTATGAAAAAAATGTTTCAAATTCTCCTTTGTTATTGAGCATCCATCTTTCGTCCTGTGTGGTTAAGCTCAGATTTTCTGGAAGGTCTCACCCTGGGCTTCACCACAGTCCATTCTCTCCTCCTTTTTCTGGTGGGTGTGGAGTAGTCTTGTGTTTTCAGGTGTCCTTTCCTTGTCTTTCTCCTGGTGGTGCAGAACTTCTTGTTTCTAAATTGAATTGTTAAACTGAACTACCACATGCCTTGGAGTTTGTAGTTTTGGGTTTTCCTCTGGAGGGGATCGGTCGATTCTTTCCATTAGAATTTCGTTTTCTGTGTTCTGAAGTTCTGGGCAGTTCTCTCATTATTTCCTTCATAATGGTGTTGAGGTTTTTTGTCTTGTCACGTTCTCCTGGGAGATCTCGGATCCTCGGGTTATCTCTGCACATTTTGTCTTTGAGAGATCTGTGTGTTTTACTTGCGTAGTGACCGTATTTTCTTCTAAGATTCTTGTTTTTTGCTTCTCTTCTTCGAGGCTTTCCTCCACTTCTGTGTATTTCCACCCCCATCTGCTGTTCTCTTTTGTTTCTTCGGTGAGGCTGCCATCCCAGGTTCCAGTTTTTCTATTCCATTCGTTATTCTTGCTGCCCAACCATAAATTCTGCCATCGTAATTCTCATTTCTCTTTTAAACCACTCGGGAACGGGGTGTTGTGTTTCCACGTTCTCCTCACATTCCGCAGGATCTTCTCTCTCATCAAATGTCGGCTCATTTTCCTTTGTTTTTATAGTATTCATAGATGCCTGACCTTGTTTACTAGATTTGGAGGCCGTATTTCCTTCTGTTGTTCCTATTTTTCCTACTGATTTATCTGTTTGTGTTCAAGGGTCCCACAGGATGCCATGGCTCTGAGGGGCTGTAGCCCACTCTTCCTCATGCAGAGCACATCGGGGATCTTCCCAAGCCTTGAAGGGCTTCTGAACTGGGGCATTCTGAGATGACAAGGCTCTCTCTCCCCTCTTAGACTTGATCCTAGGCCCTGAGCTCTTTGGTGAGCTGGGCTGTGGGAGTGACCTTCTCAGGGTCAAGTGCGCATTCAGGAAAGTAAATGAACTCTTCTTGGGCCCCAGGTGCGGACCTGGGAAAAGTAATTTGCTTTGTTCAGCCCTGAATGAGTTGATTCCCAGGGTATAGGTGAGCACTGTATTTCCACTCTACTTGGGACTTGGGGGGAACATGTAGACTGCATCTGACTTTGTTCCTTCGCTTAATATAAGATGGGTTCAGTTATGGTTTCTTGAGTAGTCACTTGACAGACGGTGTGCATAACGAGAACAATATTTAAATTTGATTTACACTTCTCAGCTCCTTCTGCTTTGGCGTTAGACTAGCATTTCATGGGCTCACTGTGATTGTCATTCACTGTCTACTTTGCGGAAATGAAAAATTGGTTACGTTCCTATTAAACAAAAAGTCATGTTTTTAGTTGGCATGCTTAGTTCCTGCCTTGTGCTTCAAGGGTAAACTTCTTATTCTGCTGAGCTGGAAAATTATTGCCAACAAACCTGTTTTAGAAATTATGCCCAAAGGGCAGCTAGGTGGCACAGTGGATAGAGCACTGGCCCTGAAGTCAGGAGGACCTGAGTTCAAATCCGGCTTCAGACCAAACACTTGACACTTACTAGCTGTGTGACCCTGGGCAAGTCACTTAACCCCAATTGCCGAAAAAAAAAAAAAAAGAAGAAGAAATTGTGCCCAGACTTTTTGTTTTGTGCACTTTAGTATAGTCGTGATGCTTAATCAGTGTTGATGGCTTAATTGATTCTCTCCCTGTTACTTGATTTCTTTGGTCCCATCTGCATCTAGACCCAAAGACTGAAGATGCAACGTACTGGTGACCCACGACCATTCTTACCTGGGCTGTCAAGCCAGTGCACCCTTTGCAGTTCTTTAATTACTCCGAAAAAACACAGAATCCACTCACTTTAAAGGCTGGGAGATTCCCCCAGAAATGACCTCCCACTTTGTGTGGGAAGAAGTGTTAATGATTGCCTTGGACTTGTCATTGTATTAGAAAATACATCCAAAGTTTGGGCGAGTTTTCAACCTTTTCCTCAGGTCACTTTTATTTAAGTAAGGATCTGCTGCCAGTCAGTGATATTTC